TGAACTACATAGTGAGACCCTGTCTCCAAAAACAAAACAGACAAAAAATTGTTTCCCTGTTAAAATTAAACACTTTTGAAGATTATAAACTTATTTTTAAGGCCATTTAGGAAACAAGTAGCATTGGGGAAAAAGCACATTCTAGAAGCTATATATTTTTTCCCTTTATTTTGTACAGTGTCTGTGCAGCTCAGACTCATAGTGATCCTCCTGTTTTCGCCTCCCCATCACTGGGATTACAGGCATGTGCCACCAATCCCAGCTCAACACCCCCTGGGGATGGGGGCTGGTGTGGCATGCAGGACCGGGGATGAAACCCTGGTCCCTGCACTTACCAAAACAGGTGCTTAGTCCACTGAGCTAGCTTGCTGGCCCTGGAAGCTGTACTTAATATCTATAATACATTATCTTTTTTTTTTTAAGGCAAGATCTCAGTATACGCCAGGCGTGGTAGTGCACACCTGTTATCCCAGAACTGAGGAGGCTGAGGCAGGAGGTTCAAAGCCCACCTGGGCTACAAAGTGAGTTCAAGGCCAGCCTGAACTGCATATTGAAACCCTATCTCAAAGAGAGAGCAGGGGGGAATAGATAGATAGATAGATAGATAGATAGATAGATAGATAGAGAGATTTTCTTTCTATATATTCTAGGATAGCCTTGAACTGACTATGTAGCCCAAACTGATCTTGAACTCAACTGTGATTCTCCTGCCTCAACTTCCCAAGTGCTAAGATTACCAGTGTATATCAGCAGTGTGTATTTTTTTTTCTTAAAACTAATCTTTCTACCAATTGGTCATGTTTTTATAGTAGCAGATCTTGTTGCTTCTAAATTTGCACATCTTGGCCAGGGAGATGGCTCAGTGGAATAAGTACTTCCCTGGCAAGCACAAGGCCCTGAGTTCAATCCCTGGTTCTGCCAAAAAAATAAATAAATAAATAAATAAATAAAAATAAAAAAAATAAATTTGCACATCCCAACATACACACCAGGTTTTTTGCCCACAATTAGTGTACATTAATTAGAGGATGACACTAAGGCATGATCCACTTTATTTTGGAATTTATATTATGGTATAGTAGAAAATGACTTATAAGAATAGATCAATTTGTATTGTTTTATTACCACTGAGAGGTAAGTGTAAACATCTCTAACAAAGTGAGCAGCCCCAGGTATCAGGAAAGGTTATGTTTTTATCTGCTTCTCTCTACCTTCTAGGATTAGAGCTTAGCATATGTACTGAAGAGAATCCTGTAAAAACGCAATGGTGTCGACTTCTAGTAAGTTGGGAGTGACACACACTGTTAGATGATGGAAAATGGAAGGCCCTAACATCCATAATACAGTTTTGGTTTTGTAAAGTCATTTTATTGTCTTCTTAGGAGATATTTAAATTTTCTGGAGAGAAAAAAAAACAATCATAACAAAACTCAAACATGAGGCTGGGGAGATGGCTCAGTAGAATAAGAGCTTCCCTGGCAAGTGCAAGGGTCTGAGTTCAATCCCTGGTTCCACCAAGAAAGAAAACATACACACACACACACACACACACACACACACACCCCAAAACCTCAAACACAGCAAACAGTGTCCAAATCAATCAAGAAACTAACGTGTGGACAAGATGCCCAGGGGAGCTTATGAACCCTTAGGCCAAGCTTGCACTGTGATGGGTGACTTCTCCATGATTCTGTGAGTGTTTCTGACGTGAGTAGGTTTGAGATGTCGTTTTCAGGTTCTTGTGGGAATACATCTATGCACTCACTTATCAGATAAAATAGAGCAAAGTTCCTTAAGTTTTTAAAAGGATAATCTTATTTATTATTATCATCTAATTTATTAAAGAATTCCTTTGTGAGTTCAGCGTTTGTTCGCTTGTTGATGTATCTAGCACAGGGTCTACAGAGTCTCACTACACAGATCGGTCTGGTAGTGATCCTCCTGTTCTCAGCCTCCCAAGTGCTGGGATTACAGGCACACACCACCATGCCCAGTCTCAATTGATGTCTCAGCATGTCCCAGGGTGGGGCCCGCAGGGCAAGCTGGGAATTGAATCCCTGTCCCTGCACTTGCCTAAGCAGGTGTTTTAGTCTGCTGAGCTATCTGGCTGGCCCTACAGCTTTTTATATTTCTGATTTTGAACCTTTCATGTAGTGATTCTGCTGAGACCAAGACATCAGCATATGTTCTAGGAATTTACACACACACACACACACACTACTCTGTTGGCTGCGCTGTGTGGTAGCATCGCCTCTCCCATGTCCCTGTGACTGGAATGAGCAAGGATTTCTTTCTCAAGTCGTATTGCTGGCAGGTAGTGCTGCTTTTTTTTTTTTTTTGTTCTGTTTTTTTGGTACTGGGGATCGAACTCAAGACCTTGCTTGCACTTGCCAGGCAGGCAAGCAGCTGAGCTCTCCCCAGCTCCTAGTGCTGCTTTTATCATTGTTCAGTAATACAGGTTGATGGAATTTGTATAGTGTGGGACAGGAGCGACTAGGTGTAGCAACGTAGAAGTCTGCACAAAGCTTCTGAGTGGCTGGCTACAGCCAATAGTGCAGGTCATGTGACTTCAGGAACACACAGAACTACCTGTGCCAGGGCCAGCTAGATAATGTGTCTGTCCCCATCATCTTTCTGGTTGTCAGACTTCGCTTTCCCCTCTGTTAAAGGCAAAACACGCTTGCTTCCACGTGGAGATGAGGCACGTAAGCCTGGGACCCGGTTATGCAGGAGGGCGGTGCCCAAGAGTGCCTTGGGAGGCGATGATTCTCTTCCTGCTCCAGACACTTGTGAGAGAAGCTGACAGTGACCCACGGCCTCCAGCATAATAAACAATGCCATAGCGAGCAGGGACCACCTAATAACAATAAATACTGATTTGAAATTTGGGGGCGGGAAAAGGACACAGCAGTCTGCAGCAAATTGTGAAACCCTCCTAGAGCAACCGTGCTGGCCCTGGGGAGCGGGCTGTGCCCGCCTCCTCTTCCTCTAAAACAAAGGCGTGTTTTTGCTTCAGTGCTATGTATGCCTCTCCAGAAGCCTTGCAGTTTGCACAATTGAGCCATGATTTCCTCTTTTATAAAATACAAAGAACATACACATATCTACTTAGGTGTCAAGGGAAACACAGTAGTCCCCACCACCACTCCTTTCTGAAATGCCACTAAAGTGAAGAGAATGACTTTAAACAAGAAATAAACCCATGAAGTCGAGGAAAGAAAGAGAGAAAATAGAAGAAATGACAGTAGTAAGAGAAGAGAAAGATCTCTGAGCCATGCATAGCCATTACAATCTGAGCAGTAGGCACTAGTTTTTTAAAAGTTTGATACAACTGTTGGGAGAGGTAGGGGAGAACTGGGCTAATCTGTAAACCCGCCGTGCTGTGAGCCCAGACGTGGCCAGTGGTGCCTGGGATTGGAGGAAAGCGTCAGGTGTACAAGTGCATGTGCGTGGGAACGTAGGTGGGGGGAGAACAGCTACCAGAGCACCACTGGCTGCAGAATGGGGCTCATTTGGAGTAGGCCCAGTGGATCTGACTTGTAAATCTTGAGGTGCCTTTTTATTTTCTTCTGTATTTTAGGAAAGGGTCTATAGGGTGTTCAGGGTTTCACTGCTAGATTGGACTCACAATGATTCTCCTGTTTACAGCCTCCCAAGAGCTAGGATTACAGGCACACAGGATTACAGGTATGCACCACCACGCCCAGTCTCAATTGCTGTCTCAGTGCGCCCCAGGGGTGGGGCCAGCACGGCAGGCCCAGGGATTAAATCCCTAGCCCCTGTGCCTGTTTGCAGGTGCTTTAATCCGCTGAGCTATTTGGCCAGCCTTGGGGTGCTTTTTTAATGGCTAATTTCTAAAAGGGTTTAAAAATCCCAAGTTTTATAGTGAGTATTAAATAGAAATATGAATAATGAAATATTTCACAGTTCCAGGTACTCAGCAGGCATTCTGTAAATACCAGTTTCCTTTCTGGTGTCTCCAGATAGGGTCTGTGCTAGCTAGCCATGGTGTTCACATGAGTCAGCTAGTTGGGGTTGGCCCAGCAGCAAGCAAGGTGTGTCGCAAAGAAAAGTGTATGCCCTTCCAGTCTTTTTTTTTTTTAATGGATGGCTTTATTTTTCTTGGAACTGTATCGATGTGATGGTTATTGTTTCTCAGAATTTAGCCTTCTGTGCAACTGACACATGAAAAATCATCCAGTTATTGAGTGGATCCAGTGAGATGCAACAAATATAAAAGTACTTGACAACTTTGAAGTTACTTTAATAAGCCTGAAAAGTCCTCTCCCATCCCCGACTTACAGATTCGCTCAGGCCAGGGCCTTCTGTGGCCACGTCTGTGGGCTCTTGCTGTGGTGGTCGTGGTGGCCATGGAACCCATGATGGCTGTGGTGGCTGTGGTGGCTGTGGTGGCTGTGGCCACCATGCTGAAAGAGGGCCGGCCAGGCGAAGCTGTGAGTGTCTCAGGATACTTCCCGCAGCCTGACTGGAAATGCCTTGTGGATTTGGTCGCCTCAGTGTGGCATGCAGGATGTGAACGCCGTACAGTGCCAGATACTTATTTCTTCATCAGAAATGGAGTGTGTGCTGCCGCTGTGTTTTTGGGGTTTTTTTCCCCAGTACAGGGATTAAACTCAGGACCTTGTGCTTGCCCAGCAGGCACTTATGTGCCACTGTGTCTTAAGCCATCCTGAGGGTGTCTTGTAGCACTTGCTCTCCTAGGCTTTTCATCATAACAGAAAATGCTTATGAATTATTGTAAGCCAGGAAAGTAATGACCCAGCCATGCCCCCGAGGCAGCGGTGCACCGTGCATGTTTGGGGTTATTGATCTCTGTGCTCGCTGTGCTGCAGGGCAGATGCATGGTGTGAGAAGGCAGTGGTGCTGTCTGACTTCTTCCTCTTGCTTTCTTTTTGTAGATAAGGTGCTCCGAGTCCCTTGCAGCTCTCCTCTGAAGAAATCCCCAGTGCTCTACTCTTGCCATAGTACCAGACCTTTCTGACTTATGCTGTGGTGCTGTGACACTGGAAGAATTGCACAAAGGTCTCAGGCACATCTGTTTGTCACTTGAGCAATTCTCTGTGGATGGAAAAATATTTGAGTTTTATTACCTTGTTTGAAATCTGTTGCCCTAGTCTGAACTACTTAACAGATTGGGCCACTTACCAATGAGCCACCCAGCCAGTTCTGGTCAGGAACTGGTTGAAAACTGTGCTGTGCATGTAGCAGGGATGGCACAAGAAGAAAACCGTCGTGGTCAAGTGCCATCCACCTTTTACCATGGTGCCAACCAAGAGCTTGACCTGTCCACCAAGGTGTATAAAAGGGAGTCTGGAAGTCCCTATTCTGTGCTGGTGGACACCAAGGTGAGCAAGCCACATCTCCATGAGACAGAGGAACAGCCGTATTTCAGGGAGACAAGAGCAGCGTCTGACGTGCACGCTGTCAAGGAAGACCGGGAGAATTCCGATGACACGGAGGAGGAGGAGGAGGAAGTCTCTTACAAAAGGGAGCAGATCATAGTGGAGGTAAACCTTAATAATCAAACATTAAATGTGTCTAAAGGGGAAAAGGGTGTCTCTTCTCAGTCCAAAGAGACTCCTGTTCTTAAGACGAGCAGTGAGGAGGAAGAGGAAGAGAGTGAGGAGGCGACAGATGACAGCAATGATTATGGAGAGAACGAAAGGCAGAAGAAAAAGGAGAAGATAGTGGAAAAAGTCAGCGTTACCCAAAGGCGAACGCGGAGAGCAGCCTCTGTCGCTGCAGCTGCCACTGCCCCTTCTCCCAGAACCACGAGAGGAGGGCGTAGGAAGAGTGTAGAGCCACCTAAGCGTAAGAAGCGGGCAGCCAAAGAGCCCAAGGCGCCAGCCCAGAAAGCTAAGTGTGAAGAGAAAGAGACTCTGACCTGTGAGAAGTGCCCCAGGGTGTTTAATACTCGCTGGTACCTGGAGAAGCACATGAACGTTACTCACAGGCGCATGCAGATCTGTGATAAGTGTGGCAAGAAGTTTGTCCTGGAAAGTGAGCTGTCCCTTCACCAGCAAACAGACTGTGAAAAAAACATTCAGGTAGGTCTCATCACCGAGAGGGCAAACTTCCCAGGATACACCCTGGCTTAGAGATTCATCTGGTTCTGCCCAAGAGAATAAATACACTAGAGGCTGAAGGGACAGAGTTCACCAATTTGTCATTTTAGAAGCTCCTGCCTGGGTCTTTCCAGAACCAAGGCTTACCCTGGTATTTGCAGAGCATTAATATACAGTAACTGCCGCTGGACTAGTGGGAGCCCAGGCAACTGGAAGGGGGATCTGGTAGAGACGATTGACCAGGACGTGCAGTCAGCAGCGACTTTGCAGAGATTCGCTGCTGAATTCATTCTGGCATCTTCTGGTGAGGTGGGAGACCCTGAGTGAAAGGCAATAGAGGAAGGCTCCTTTCTATTTAAAAGGATGCCAGAGTCTAGTGCAGCTGATGGGGACAAAGCCAGAAGGAGCCAGACCGGTGGAAATGGAAGACTTCCAGGAGTGAGTGCTTTTACCGGTGGAGCGCTGACTACACTAAATTGTCAAGAGGCTGAGCCCAAGGCAGTATGCAAACGGTAACCAGTAACCGAGGCCGAGCTGAGTGAGATGTTGCCCACCTGGCAGTAGGGTTACCTGTGCTCCCTGAAGTGTTGTTAAGGTAACAGAACAAGGTGTTCAACCAGGCTGCAGTGCTGAGGCCTGCCCTGGGATAGGGCGAGAGGTGCTGAGCCCACGCGGCTCGGGGTTGCATGTGTGTCGGCCTAGTAATGGTGTTCACAAAAGGTAAGTCTGTCGACGCTTCCTAAGATATGTACAGTAGAAATGTTTTGTACCACTTCGTACCACACTTCACTTCTTAAAGGACAAATTGTCTTTTGTTTTTTGGAGTGTTGCTAATATTGATGGTTTTATTTTTTGCTTTTCTTCTTTTGCTTTTAATCATCTACTGAGATCATTGCCTTGCTCTGAAGAGTTTTGTTGTTTTGGTTTTTTTTTTAATATGAATTACCTTTGTTAAAAACCCGCCTCACAGGCCAGGGAGATAGCAGCATAAACACCCGCCTGGCAAGCGCAGAGTCCTGAGCTCAATCCCTGGTATTGCAAAAATAAAAATAAAAATAAAACTCACTGCTGCCCAGCATAGTGGCCAGGCTGGGCTACATAAGTGAATTCAAGACCAGCCCATCACAACAAAATGAAAACATA